GGCTGCTGAATTTTGTTGAAGGCCTTCTCTGCATCTATTGAGTTAAGCATGTGGTTTTTGTCTTTGGTTCTGTTTATGTGGTGGATTACATTTATAGATTTGCAGATGTTGAACCAGCCTTGCATCCCTGGGATGAAGCCAACTTGATCATGATGTATAAGCCTTTTGATGTGCTCTTGGATTTGGTTTGCCAGTATTTTATTGAAGATTTCTGCACCAATATTCCTCATGGATATTGGCCTGAAATGTTCTTTTTTAGTTGTATCTCTGCCAGGTTTTGATATCATGATGATGGTCTCATAAAATGAGTTAGGGTGGATTCCCTCTTTTTATATTGTTTGGAATAGTTTCAGAAGGAATGGTACCAGCTCCTCTTTGTACCTCTGGTAGAATTCAGCTGTGAACCCATCTGGCCTGGACATATTTTTGTTGGTAGGCTATTAATTGCTGCCTCAACTTCAAACCTTATTATTGGTCTATTCAGGAATTCAGCTTCTTCCTGGTTTAGTGTTGGGAGGGTGTAAGTGTCCAAGAATATAACCATTTCTTTTAGATTTACTGGTTTATGTGCATACAGGTGTTTGTAGCAACCTATGATGGTAGTTTGTATTTCTGTGGGATCAGTGGTGATATCCCCTTTATCATTTTTTATTGAATCTATTTGAATCTTATCTCTTTTCTTTTTTATTAGTCTGGCTAGCCGACTATCTATTTTGTTGATCTTTTCAAAAAACCAGCTTCTGGATTTATTCATTTTTTGAAGGATTTTTTGCGTCTCTCTCCTTCAGTTCTGCTTTGATCTTAGTTATTTCTTGCTTTCTGCTAGCTTTTGAATTTGTTTGATCTTGCTCCTCTAGTTCCTTTAATCGTGACGTTAGGGTGATGATTTTATATCTTTCCTCACTTCTCTGGTGGAGCCCTTTAGACACTGCTTTAAATGTGTTCCAGAGATTCTGGAATGTTCTATCTTCTTTCTCTCTGGTTTTGAAGAACATCTTTATTTCTTCCTTCATTTCATTATTTACCCAGTAGTCATTCAGGAGCAGATTGTTTAGTTTCCATGTAGTTGTGCGGTTTTGAGTGAGTTTCTTAATCCTGAGTTCTAATTTGATTGCACTGTGGTCTGACAGACTGTTTGTTATGATTTCTATTCTTTTGCATTTGCTGAGGAGTGTTTTACTTCTGATTATATGGTCAATTTTAGAATAAGTGCGATGGGGTGCTGAGAAGAATGTATATTCTGTGGTTTGGGGGTGGAGAGTTCTGTAGATGTCTATTAGGTCCACTTAGTCCAGAATCTGAGTTCAAGTCCTGGATATCCTTGTTAATTTTCTGTCTCATTGATCTGTCTAGTATTGACAGTGGTGTGTTAAGGTCTCCCACTATTATTGTGTGAGAGTCTAAGTCTCTTTGTAGATCATTAAAACTTGCTTTATGTATCTGGGTGCTCCTGTATTGGGTGCATATATATTTAGGATAGTTAGCTCTTCTTGTTGCATTAATCTCTTTACCATTATGTAATGCCCTTCTTTGTCTCTTCTGATCTTTGTTGGTTTAAAGTCTGTTTTATCAGAGACTAAGATTGCAACGCCCCCCCCTTTTTTTTGCTCTCCATTTGCTTGGTAAATCTTCCTCCATCCCTTTATTTTGAGCCTATGTCTGTCTTTGCACATGAAATGGGTTTCCTGAATACAGCACACTGATGGGTCTTGACTTTTTATCCAATTTGCCAGTCTGTCTTTTGATTGGGGCAGTTAGCCCATTTACATTTAAGGTTAATATTGTTGTGTATGAATTTGATCTTGCCATTTTGATGCTAGCTGGTTGTTTTGCCCATTAGTTTATGCAGTTTCTTCGTAGTAACAATGGTCTTTACAGTTTGGTATGCTTTTGCAGTGGCTGGTACTGGTTGTTCCTTTCCATGTTTAGTGCTTCCTTCAGGAGCTCTTGTAGAGCAAGCCTATTGGTGACAAAATCTGTCAGCATTTGCTTGTCCATAAAGGATTTTATTTCTCCTTCACTTACGAAGCTTAGTTTGGCTGGATATGAAATTCTGGATTGAAATGTCTTTTCTTTTAGGATGTTGAATATTGGCCCCCACTGTCTTCTGGCTCGTAGGGTTTCTGCTGAGAGATCTGCTGTGAGTCTGATGGGCTTCCCTTTGTGGGTAACCTGACCTTTCCTCTCTGGCTGCGCTTAGCATTTTTTCCTTCATTTTAACCCTGGTGAATCTGAGGATTATGTGCCTTGGAGTTGCTCTTCTCGAGTAATACTTTTGTGGTGTTCTCTGTATTTCCTGTATTTGAATGTTGGCCTGCCTTGTTAGGCTGGGGAAGTTCTCCTGGATAATATCCTGAAGAGTGTTTTCCAGCTTGGTTTTGTTCTCCCCATCACTTTCAGGCATGCTGATCAAACGTAGATTTGGTCTTTTCACATAATCCCATATTTCTTGCAGGCTTTGTTCATTTCTTTTCACTCTTTTTTCTCTAATCTTGCCTTCTCACTTTATTTCATTGAGTTGATCTTTGATCTCTGGTATTCTTTCTTCTGCTTGATCGATTTGGTTATTGAAACTTGTGTATGCTTCGTGAAGTTCTCATGCTGTGTTTTTCAGCTCCGTCATGTCGTTTATGTTTTTTTCAATGCTGGTTATTCTCGTTAGCATTTCATCTAACCTTTTTTCAATATCCTTAGTTTCCTTACATTGGGTTAGAACACCTTCCTTTAGCTCAGAGAAGTTTGTTATTATTACCCACCTTCTGAAGCCTGCTTCTGTCAGTTCATCACACTCATTCTCCATCCAGTTTAGTTCCCTTGCTGGTGAGGGGTGGTGATCCCTTGGAGGAGAAGTGGCATTCTGGCTTTTGGTGATTTCAGCCTTTTTGTGCTGGTTCCTTCCTATCTTTGTGGATTTATCTACCTTTGGTCTTTCAAGTTGGTGACTTTCGGATGGGGTTTCTGAGTGGATGCCCTTTCTGTTTATGTTGAAGCTATTTCTCTCTGTTAGTTTTCCTTCTAACAGTCAGGCCCCTCTGCTGCAGGTCTGCTGGAGTTTGCTGGAGGTCCACTCCAGACCCTGCTTGCCTGGGAGTCACCAGCAGGGTCTGCAGAACAGCAAAGGTTGCTGCCTGTTCTGTCCTCTGGTAGCTTTGTCCCAAAAGAGTACCTGTCAGATGTCAGCCAGAGCTCTCCTGTATGATGTGTCTCCCAGATAGGATACACGGGGAGTCAGGGAACCACTTGAGGAAGCAGCCTGTCCCTTAACAGAGCTCAAGCACTGTGCTGGGGGATCCGTTGCTCCCTTCAGGGCTGCCGGGCAGGGATGTTTAAGTCTGCTGAAGTTGAACCCACAACCGCCCCTTTTCCCAGGTGCTCTATCCCAGGAAGCTGGAGGCTTTGTAAGTCCCTGAGGATCTGCTCTCTTTTGCTTTTTTCTGAGATGCCCTTTCCAGCAAGCGAATCTGCTTGACAATCTGTCTGCAGAGAGGCCTTGTTGAGCTGCCCTGTGTAAACTTCCTGGTGGCTTTGTTTACACAGCAATGTTGAAACCTCTTACTGGAGCATCAGCAATAGCAGGTGCCCCTCTCCCTACCAAGCTCGACCATCCCAGGTCAAACTCAGACTGCTGTGCTGGCTGTGAGAATTTCAAGCCAGTGGATTTTAGCTTGCTGGTGTTCGTAGGGGTGGGACCTGCTGAGCCAGCTTGCTTGGCTCCCTGGCATCAGCCCCTTTTTTCAGGGGGAATGAGCAGTTGTGTCTCGTTGGCATTCCAGGTGCCACTAGACTAAAATGGCCACCTAGTTTCATGCTGGAAACCTGGGTGCTGGCATTGTTGGTGCCAGAGGGAATCTCCTGGTCTGCAGGTTGTGTAGACTGTGGGAAAAGTGCAATATCTGAGCCAGAGTACTGAAGTGTCCAGAAAAGTCCCTAATGGCTTCCCTTGGCTGGGAGAGAGAGTGCTCTGGCCCCTTGTGCCCTTCAGGTGAGGCATGCCCCATCCTGCTTCAGCTTGCCCACCTTGGGCTGTTCCTACTGTCTCACCAGTACCAATGAGATGAACTTGGTATCTCAGTTGGAAATGCAGAGATCACTCATCTGTCACTCTCTCACTGGGAACTGCAGACTGGAGCTGTTCCTATTCATCCATCTTGGAGGAAGTCCGGCCTGTTTTACATTTTCTATGTACAGAACAATGCCATCTGTGACTAATGATGGTTTTATTTCTTTCCAAATTTTAAACCTATTATATTTTCCTGATGCTACTATCACTCACAATGTCCATGAAGATAAGATGCAAAATGGCTGACCAGTACCTGATAACGTCTTGTAAACAATTTTACCTGGGATTATTAATATGGAAGCCGATGGTATTTCATCCATGAGTACCAGGTATCTGTGTACATTTGCTTGTAAGTTGGATTGTCCTACTTGGTTTTCATATGTATGCATAGTGTCATCAAGGGAAGAAGGTAGTTTGGTTGTACTTTCTTTTGTGAGCTCAATTTGAGAGACTTGGCATATCCTCTCCTTATTTATGAAATAATTTCTTAGAAATTGAGCATCAGAGGGATATACCTATGGGGTTGACATAGTGCATGTACCTCACAGCTCAACCTTTTCATTTGATTTTCAGATGCTACAGTCACTCACAATGTCTGTGAAGAGAAGATAAATAGTGGCCATCCAGCACGTGATAACTTTTTGCCAACCATTACATGAGTGTCAGGAGCTGGCATTCCACCCACGAGTACCATGGATCAGTGTATGTTTGTTTACTAGTTGTTTCTACTTGGTTTCCATATGCATGCAGTGTCATAAGTTGAAGAAGGTGGTTTTATTATATTATCTTTTGTGAGCTCAATGTGAGGGGTCTCAGATCGCCACCTGGCGTATCCTTCTGCTTTATGAGATGATGTCCTAAAAACTGAGCATGAGAGGCATACATACATGTTGTTGACATAATGCACTTACCTCACAGCTTGACTTGTTTTGGTTTCTAGACTCTATTGTCACTCACAATGTCCATGAAGAGAAGATGGAAGATGGCCAACCAGCACCTGATACCATCTTGTCAGCTATTCTGCCAGGGCTTATTAATTTGGCAGGAGCTAGTATTCCAGCCATGAGTACCAATGATCTCTGTATGTTTACTTGTAAGTTGGATTGTCCTCCTTGGTTTCCATATGCATGCATAATGTCATGAAGAGGGGAAGGTGGTTTGTTTTATTATCTTTTGTGAGCTCAATTTAAGGGGTTTCAGGTTGCTACCTGGCATGTCCTCTTGCTTTGTGCAATAATTTCCTAGAAACTCAGCATCAGAGGGATATGCCAGTGGGGTTGACACAATGCACTTTCCTCACAGCGCAACCTGTTCATTAGATTTGCAGATGCTACCATCACTCACAATGTCGGCAAAAAGACGATAAAAACAGCCAACCAGCACCAGATAACTTGCTGTCCACTGTTACACGAGGGCTTATTAGTTTGGCAGGAGCTGGTATTCCAGCCATGAGTCCCAGGGATCTGTGTACGTCTCTTTACTAGTTGTACTGTCCTACTTGGTTTCCATATGAATGCATAGCGTCATAAGGGGAAGAAGGTGGTTTTGTTATATTATCTTTCATGAGCTCAATTTGAGGTGTCTCAGATTGTCACCTGGCATATCCTCTCCTGCTCTATGAAATAATTTCCTAGAAACATAACATCAGAGAGATATACCTGCTGAGTTGACATAATGCACTTACCTCACAGCTCAACCTGTTCATTTGGTTTCCAGATGCTACCATCACTCACAATGTCTGTGAAGAGAAGATACAAAAAGTCCAACCAGCACCTCATAACTTCTTGTCAACTGTTGCATCAAGGTTTATTAATATGGCAGGAGCTGGTATTTTCCAGCCATGAGTATCAGGGATCTGTACATGTTTTCTTATAAGTTGTACTGTCCTAGTTCATTTCCATATACATACATAGTGTCATCAAGGGAAGAAGGTGGTTTTGTGGTAATATCTTTTCTTGCCTGAATCTCAGGGTTCTCTGATTGCCACCTGGCATATCATCCTTCTTTACGGGATAATTTTCTAGAAACTGAGCATCAGTGGGGTATACCAGTGGGGTTGTCATTATGCACTTACCTCATAGCTCGACCTCTTCATTTTGTTTCCGGATGCCACCAGCAATCGTAATCTCTATGAGAAGAAGATGAAAAATGGCCAAGAAGCACCTGATAACTCCTTGTCAGTGGTTCCACCAGGGCGTAGTAATCTGTCAGGAGCTGGCACTTCATCTACGAGTACCAGGGATCTGTGCATTTTTGTGTATTGGTTGTACTGTCCTACCTGGTTTCTGTATGCATGCATAGTGTCCTGCAGGGAAGTAGGTGGTTTTGCTGTATTGTCTTTCTTGAGCTCAGTTTGAGGGATCTCAGATAGCCACCTGGTATATTCTCCTGCTTTATGAGGTAACTTCCTAGAAACTGAGCAGCAGAGGGATATACCTGTGGGGGTGACATAATGCACCTACCTCACAGCTCAGCTTTTACATTTGTTTTCTAAATGCTACTGTCTTTAACGATATCAAGGAGGAGGAGTTGGAAAATGGTCAAACCCCTCCTGATGGCTTCCTGTCAGATTCTGCTCCACCAGACCTTATAAATATGACAAGAGATCGTATGCCACCCAACCCACTGGATTCTTTTCCCTTATAACTTCACTAGTCTCTGCAAAGATGAGCTGCTTTACAAAATTAATAGTAATGAGTTTGTGGTAGGAACCCAAAACAACAGCGTCTCTGCAGGTGACTCACCAGTCACAGCAATGTCTTTAGTGGAAACTCTGCCAAATGTGCCACAAATATCTCCTGCTATGACAAAGAAAATTAATGATGATATAAAATATCAATTAATGAAAGAAGTTAGAAGGTTTGGGCGAAGTAAGTAGTGCAAGAATGTCTATCAATCAAAGCATAAGAAGTCTCTCATTCTATTATTTAGAACACAATTATGCTGCCTCTTGAGCTCATTGTTTGGCTGTATTGGATCTGTATATAGTTTAGCATGGCTTCTCCTTAATTTCACTGAATATTTCTAATACATCTGCTTAAGTGTTTTTTTTTTTTTGTTAGTGTTCGTGATAATTTCCTTAGTAATATACAGATGCTGTGATTTAAACATGCAAAACACAAACACTATGTAACATTGTAGCCTATTGAAAATGTATACTGTGGTAGTGGATGCACTAAGGTTGAGGTATATTTCATTTTTATGATTGTAGAAATAATATTTTTTAAGTATCTTCAGATTATGAAAGAATTTTCATTTTGCTTGAAGAAGTACAAGGATCTCTGAAAGTCAAGGGACAATTTGTTGAATTTAACACCAAGGAAGCAGCAAGGTAGGTGCAAAAGGAAACTCTTCTATTGTTTTAAGCACTTGTGCCCAATTTGGGACAGGAGCAGGAACAAACCATGCTTTGTTTTTCCTAATCCCTAGCCCTCAATCATAGTTCATGCTATTTCCACAGGCATGTAGGTTAATATTATCTTATTCTGACACTTCCTTCTAATGCCATGGAGCCTTCCAAATTTATCATAATCTGGAAGTGGGCATGAGCCCTCAGTTGACTCACTTCCTATTTTTCTAGTTTTTATTTTTCCATGAGGATGCATTTTCTATTGCATGTAGATTGTAAACTCTATTTTCTATCCACTACTACTTCTTACATATCATAGATGCTGTAAGTATCCTCTGGTTAACGGAATACCTCTTTAATTTCAGGTTTAAAAAAGTTGTGTTAATTCAGCAATTCAAGAAGGTGCTTAAAGAAATAGATTCCCACTGCCATCCCAGAAAAGTTAAGCACATGAGGAAAAAAATAATTGCATTAGTGCAAAGACCAAGGAGAAACAAGGAGATTATGCTGTAGGATGGAACAAGTTATTGCTGAAGCTCCCTGTAGTTTGAAGTGAAGAGAATTCCCTTCCAGAAGCTAAGAAAAATAAGTGGGAGGTTTTAAAGTTTCATAAATCTCTGATAGTAAGTAAAAGCTGTACTTTTGTTGTTTGTTGGTTTGTTCTTCCACCTGAGGAGGGGGATGAGTTAATAACTCACCAAGGTATTAAGTATTATAGTCCCGGTTTCTGCAGCAGCTCACATTGTTGTAGCTGATATTTATAACTGTCTTTTTTTTCACTATCCACTTCCCATTCCCTTTGCCCTGAGATAGTATGTCAGCTGGTTATGGTGCTCAGCCTGGCAGGATGACTTAAACCTTCATTACTGAACAGTCTGGACCATTAGATATCCTGCCTGGATTGGGTTGCTGTAATTTTCCATTAAGTGTAATCAAAAAACGTGGGAGGACTAAGAAGTTCTCTAGACACAGCAGATATACTCTTTTTTAGCCCCTGGTTTAGTGCAATTAATCCCCCTTTGATCATCAGGTTTATCATCCCAAGCCGGTAGATGACCCCCTCCTTTGCTTCTAAATGGAAAGTGATGAAGAGACCAAAATGGCCGGCTGGTAGTATGAATCTCTTTTCAATGGAATCACTGTTGTGCCCCTTGGCGAAAGCAATTCTTCCTTTTGGAAATAAGATTTCTAGTTCAGCAATGCCTAAATAGGAAGCAATTTTGCTAGTGGGTCACAGGGGTGAATAGAGAGTAGAGACACTCCCAGTTACACCCCTTGATTCTAGGACCCATGAATCCTGACTATGGGAGAGAAAGAAAAGTATGTTGGATGCAGATATACAGCAAACGCTGCTTCCTAAAAATAATTTCTCAGACCTGCAAGGTACTGCCAGCTAGCTAGCACTGTAACAGTTTCACAAGTCTATTCCACTGTTCTGTTGATCCAGTCACTTTAAGATGATGGCAGAGACTTTGGGAGGCTGAGTTGGTGCTCAAGACCAGCATGTGAAACATAGTATCATCTCAAAAAAAAAAAAAAAGATCATGGGGGGAGAGAAGAATATAAAAAATATGACCAGTTATTCCAGTGATTTCCTATGAAAATGGGTCCATTGCTACACTTAATTTTCTGTGAAGTGAGTGCCTTGTTTAGAGGAGATTCTGTGTGAAATACCTTGATAGTATATAAGATGTTTTTCTAAGTGCACAAATGTTAATTTTCTCAAAGTACTGTTGGTGGGAAGGAAGATCCATATTCAGAATAACTATCTTATTTGAGTAAGAACACAGCCCTGTACCTTCCATAATGGAAATGGTCCAATGTAATCACCTGCCATCTGGTAGCTGGCTGATCACCCTGGAGGCAGGTGCCATATAAGAGGCTCAGTGTTGCTCTGTTTCTGTCAGATTATACACTAGCAGCCATACAACAATGGCTGTATTGTAGAATTTTGCTCCTTAGTTCAGCTAAAACTGAGTTCTTTTCACATGACCAGGAAAGATTAGGTTCGCGCACACATTGAAAGGTGTGAGCAGAATTTATTGGGTGAAAAGGAAAAAAAGGAAGGAAAAATACTCTCAGCAAAGCGAGAGGGAGTCCTATTAACAGGCTCCCACCTCCCAGATTGATTCGGGGCCACCACACAGGAAGCGAAGAGATCAGGCTCCGACCGCTACCCCTGCACAAGGTGCAACATTCCCATGGCTCCACACTGTTCTCCCAGTGCACATGTGGACATTTTTAAGAAATAATCAGTTTGGAAAGGGTGAAGAAACAGTGCCAGTTCTTCGACTCGATCACGGGTTTCATTTGGCACCAGCAGTCCGATTTTTCAACCTTCAGGCCATTTTGGGCTTGAAGATGGGATTTGACGGGGGACCCTTGGCTGTTTCATATCTCTATCAACTGTAGACAGGTTGGCCTTGGTGAGTGGAAGTCAGTGCTACTGAAGCATAATCTTTATCCCTGTCACCTTGACCACTTTGTGAGCCCGTGTGGTAATGACACAAGTGTTAGAAAAAGAGGCTGATTAATATCTAGATATTAGGTACCTTATCGATCAGATTATTGCAATTGTGCTCTGCTGAGGTTACCCTTTGGTGAGAACTCTCATGAGATTCAAATATCTTCACACTGAATGTCCATTTAGACAGGTCTGTCCACATATTTTTCCCCAGACCTCCTTGTCACAAATTTTCAATCATGTATCCTAAAGTCCAGGATCATTCGGCCAATCAATGAGACACAGCCTGTACAAGGATACACACTTAAAAGTCTGGCCATCTCTCCTCCACACAGGAACACTGCTCAAAGTTCTTTTCTCTGGGCGGATTTCCCTTCTCCACTGTCCTTCAGGGCTATCCCAGTTGGGCTTGTCATAATACAGCTGTCCAATTCTGGCTTGTGTGGTAGGCAGGCATTATGAGCAGATTGAATATGTGTGACCTCTGAGAATTCATATGATGAAACCCTAAATCCCAATGGGATGATATTTGCAGGTGGAGTCTTTGCGAGGTAATTAGGTTTTGATGTGGTCATGATGGTTGGGACCCTATGTTGAGTTTAATGCCCTTATGATTAGAGAAAAGAGAATTTGTTCTTCCGTGTCTCTTCAACATGTTAGGATATAGCAAGGTGGCTGACTGCAAGCCAGGAAGAGGACCTCCACCAGAATTTGAGCGTGCTGGCACCCTGATCTTGGACTTCTAACCTCCAGAAATGTGAGAAAGAAATGCCTGGTGATGAAGCCACCCAGTCTGTGGTATTCTGTGATAGCAGCTGGAGCTGACTGAAACAGCTATAGTCTGATTCCCCAGATTCCCATCTGCTGTATACGCAATCAAGCACTAATCCTAATAGTGCTATGGTGGGATTTTGCCAGAGAATTAAGGTCTCAAGTCAGGTAACCTTGAGACATGAATGTGGTGTGGGTGGGCCAGACCTGGCGGGGGAATCCTTGAAAAGCAGAGCATTTTCCTCACCCAGGAGCAGAAGAAGAGCTGAGAGAGTCAAAGCACAAGAAGGATGTGACACAGCAGGCCCTCTTTGAGGATAAAGCAGTGCTCCCAAGAAAGTGTAGGGTGTCTCTAGGCGTTTAGAGCAGTCCCTGGATGACAGCCAGCCAAAAAATGGGAACCACACTCCCACCACCTTAAGGAACTAGATCTAAATGAGCAATAACCTGAATAAGCTCAGAAGTGGATTATTCCAGAGTCTGCACATTAGCACCCAGCCGGCCCATTTTGAGTTGGCCTAGGGAGACACTCAGCAGAGGGGCCAGTTGAGCCTTCCTGGTCTTGATTTGCAGAACTGTGGATAACACACGTGTGGTGTTTTAGGCCGCTCAATGTTCTTCTAAAGCTGTTTCCTGCGGAGTGGGGCATATTCTCCCTGCCTAGCCTGGGCCCTAAAGTCTCTTCCTGCCTGATCTAACAGGGTGTGAACCACGTTGTTCACAGGACTGGTGGGCAAGACATGAGATAGCTCATTAGCAGCCCAAGGTTGAAAGCCTTGCAAAACCATCATATGGACCTGGAGAAGCTGTAAGCAAGAGAGTAAGAAATCAGCATTTTAAACACAGTCGGACCAAAAGTCAAAGCTAAAAGTATGTTAACGACTGGCAATGTTAAAGGGAGCAGAGCAGACAATAGCTAATGCTTCCAGTTCCCATGGAAGTTCCTAAAGTGTTAATTTCATTTGCGTGGGTGGTGATATTTCTGATATTTTCTTGGACTAAACCAGACTGATTGATGTACAAAGAGCATTCATCTTTCAGATACAAACATGTTTCTCTTTGACCGGCTGTGAGAAGATTGAAAGCTTTTCGGTTTTGTAGGACTATAATGGCTAGGGAGTCCAGCTGCTGTTGAAGCGTAGCGAGGCCCTCTGCTGTTTGTGGGAGGGCCACCGTCATCTCCCAAAACGGGTTATGTTGGATGTCGAGGCTCTACCTCCCGCGGCTGACCATGATAATCCCAACAGAGAGGGCAGTAGTAAACTTAAGGAAATACAGGGTCTTGCTGGGAGCTGAATCTTGCTATGCTGGTACATGGCGAAAGGAAGAGATGTGTTAGCCCGTGTGAAAGATAAGGAAAACGTAGGTGATCGAGCATCGCCCCTTCCATAGTGGGTAATTGTAGATATGCTGAAGATCCGCAAACCACAAAAATTTGTTTGATGGTGAAATTTCTGCTGCAAAATATTTTGCATTAAAGTGGTGAAAGCAGTGGAGGGCCTATAAAAGGGGTCTCCTGTTTTGTGGCCTAAAATTGAAAGCTTTTGTGCAGCTAAGTTGGCAGTGGTTACTGGACCCATTAGTGAACGGTAGAGTTCGGTGGCGGCATTAATAAGATCTTTCAAAAAAGTTCCCCTTTTAGGGTTTGACCACAGGCAGAGTTATCTTTAGATAGAATATGTTGACAGTCCCTGGGGGATACGTTGAGATGGGGCAAATAAGAGCTTTTCATGCAAGGATGGCCTCAGCAAAGCCTAGAGGTTGTAGCTTTGCTGACAGGAAATGGAGGTGGTGCCAGTACAGGGACATTATAGAGCAAAAAAATTGGTTTCCTGGGTGAGGTGTCCACTTATTAGTTTAGTTCCTGCAGATGTACTGACTCAGATAGGTGACCCAGTGACAAAGTTTCAGCTATATTGTCTCTCCTGGAGTTCTGCGAAAGTGGCAGCACTGGCATAATTACTGTAAAGGCAGAAGGGGAACTGCTCTGGATAAAAGGTATGTAAGAAAGCACTTTCTCCCTTTTGGAACATTTGAACTGCTGCTGATAATTAAGAGGAGGAACTTAAGGAACCCATGACCTGACACAATAAAATCCCTTGGTATTGACCATTGGGCCTGACAGTATTGACCGTCCCCATTTTTTGGTCCAGTGAGTTTGTTCCTGGAGATGTACTGGGATGCCAGGCCAGTCTTCCAAGGGTCTAGGTCTGGCATATCCCCAATCTTCGGTAGTTGCGCAAAGTCAACAAGGTTAAGTTTTGCGTTTGTTTTTTTTTGTAATAGATGCTTGTTTTAGGGTATACCTCAATGTTGTGCAGTACCGTGACCCACTGACAAGTGACTGAAACCCTGGTAGCATGGATTGGGCCCAGAAAAAGAGAAAATTCTCTCATCCTATACCCATGATCTCATGTGTAGCTCCCTGTGACCAGATGACTAGAAAATAAAAAAACATCATGACTGATTTTCATTTGTTACTTCAGAATATGCAGGTACCACATGTATTAGTTTGTTACTGCTGCAAAACAAATTATCCCCAATTTAGCAGCTTAGAACAACACAAATATATAAGCAGTTCTGTACATCAGAATTCCAAGCAGTCTAGATTGGTTTCTCTGCTAGGATCTCACAAATTCAAAGTTAAGGTATCAACCAGGCTGGTGACTAATTGAAGACTCGGAGAGAAACTGTTTTCAAGCTCATTTGGGTTACTGGCAGGTCTAACTTCTTAAATTTGTAGAACTGAGGTAGCCGTATACTTGTGGTCTTCGCTGAGGCCACGGTAAGCTACTTGAGCCACATCTACACGTCCTTAGGTGCACCCCTCTATCTTTTAAGCAGTAATGGTGCATCATGATTATGGTGGCTGAGATAGAGGTTATTCATGGGCTTGGCAACATGAACTTTCATTTACCAGGTCCATCTCACTACAGTAACTGCTGACTATTCAACCTGCTAGCTGCAGAGACCAACACTGATTTCCCAATATGGCATGATGTCCCAGACTGATCAGTCAGCTTCCAGGTGGCACGGTGATTAATTTGGTCTGCTTCCACAATTAAAGGGGCATCACTTTGATCTTCCTCAAATAGACACTTCTTCTGGATATGGATTTACATTCCTACCCACAGCACTTCAAGAAAACAAACACTGTGGTGTTAGGAAAGGCTGTATCCACTATCGTGGTATCCCATACTGCACCAGTTTTAAACATGCAACCCACTTTACAGGAAATGAATATGGCAGTGAGCTCATGCTAATGGATTACACGAGTCCCCTGATGTTCTTCACCATCCTGAAGTGGCTGGCTCAATTATACAGCGGAACGATATTTTAAAGCCTGAGTTGTAGTAATGCCTTCCGGGCAGTGCCTTGCGGGGCTTGGCTGACGATCTAGGAGGTGGCAATGCTGTATCGCAGCATCAAGTATATGGAACTATTTTTCCCATAGCTACATCTATGACTTCAAGAATGAAGAAGGCAATATGCAGGCCTCCTCTCACTGTTACTCCTGGGTATCTAGTAGCAAAATTTTGCTTCTTGTGCTCAAAAACCAAACTTTGCTCTCAAGAAGCTAACTTTTGGCTTTGCTCGACTAGAGGTCTTAGTTACGAATTGATAAATTTTTTCAACAGGGGAACCAAAAGTGATTCTATTGAAATGAAAGTTGTGTGTACAAGATGACCAGTTTGAACTCTTCGTACATCTGAACCAAGAGACTGGCTTGAGGGGATCTGCTACTGGCTCGGCTGATGGAAAGTGGAAAAAAAAAAAAAAAAGAACGGATTTAGGTTCCTACTACACAAGGGGCTAAGGAACAGTATACCTGATATATCTAGAGAGCTTCTTAGTGCTCCTGTGTTTTATGATTAAAGTTAATGAAAAATTATAGCATCCCCATCTAGGCAGGACATCTAATGGTTCAGACTCCAGTAATGAAGGTTTGAGTCATTCTGCCAGGCCAAGCACCATGACCAACTGACACGCTTTCCCCAGGGCAAAGGGAATGAGAAACGGGCAGTGAAAGAAGGCAGTTATAAATACCAGCTACAACAATGTGGGCTGCTGCAGAAACCACGACTGTAACAATATTTACCTGATGTGTTAATAATGTCTATCAGCACAGGAGGGAAAACAAACCAACCAACAAACAAGTTATCCTTTCAAATGAAATGCGTAGGGAAAAAGACTAGCTTTTACTAATAGATATTTCCTAGCCTCTGGGGGGCCACTTTATTCACTAACACATGCTTGGAGGCTTTGGCAATATCCTGCTCCATTTTAGAAAACAGCAATCTGATCATTTTTCTCCTCAATCATTAACAAGATTATGCATTAGGGGTGTGATGATCCTTCTTCTACAAGTACCCACAAATCATTTCTTCCAATTTCTTCTCAAAGTTCTGAATTAAGTCTCCTCTCATATACCTGAAAAGAGACATGTCATTAGCCAAAAGATAGTCAAAGAACCTATGCTGTAGGAAGCACTGTGGGAGACAGAAGAATGAAGTAACAGTCAGCATGGAGACAGAAATGCATCTGCATGCTAAGAGGTAGTCTAGCCAGGCAATAACAAATGCTGGCGAGGGTGTGGAGACAAGGGAACCTTCATACACTCTTGGTGGGAATATAAATTACTACAACAACTATGAAGAACAGTTTGGAGGTTCCTCAAAAAACTAAAAATGGAGCTGTCATATGATCCAGCAATCCAACTTCTGGGTATACTCCCAAGAGGAAGGAAGTCAGCATATCGAAGAGATAGCTGCACTCCGGTGTTTGTTGCAGCACCGTCCACAGTAGCCAAGATTGAGAAGCAACCTAAGTGTCCACCAACAGATGAATGGCTAAGGAAAATGTGGTACAGTGGAGTGCTGTTCAGCCATAAAAAAGAATGAGATTCAGTCTTGCACAACAAAATGGATGGAACTGAAGGTCATTATGTTAAGTGGAATACGCCAGGCACAAAAAGACAAACTTCGCATGTTCTCACTTACTAGTGGGAGCAAAAATTTTAAACAACTGAACTAATGAAGATAGAGAGTAGAATGACAGTTACCAGAGGCTGGGAAGGTTAGTGGGGGTGGGGGGAAGTGCAGATGATTAATATGTACAAAAATGGAATGAGTAAGATGTAGTATTTGATAGCAAGACAGGGTGACTATAGTCAGTAATAATTTAATTGTACATTAAAAATAATAACAGTATAATTGGATTACCTGTAGCATGAAGGATAAATGCTTGAGCTGATAGATCCCCCATTTACCTTGATGTGTTTATTACACATTGTTGTCTGTATCACAATGTCTCATATACCCCAGAAATATATGCATCTGCTATGTACCTACACAAATTTCTTAAAAAGCAGTAATCTAGCAAATATAAAGACTGCCAACTGAGGGACAATGCCCTCCTCAGACTACGGTGAGAATGGAAGTCTCCATAGGCTTGGAAGGATGAGTTAGATTCAGATAACATTAACCTAAGTAACTGTGGAGACAGCCATAACTATGAGTGAGGGCCAGGGTGAGAAACTCAAGGCAGGGACAGTTCCCTAACGCTCACTGCCAGTACTGCGTTGAGCCCAAGTGCTTAAAGAAATTGAACAGTTCTTATCTCTACCCACCTTGCTGCTTCCTTGATGATGGATTCAAAATAGCGTCCCTTGACTTCTGCAGGTGCTTGCAGTCTTTCAGGCAATTTGACGTTTTTGTTGTTGTTTTTTTTTCTTGTTCTGAATATGTTAAAAAAAAAAAAAAAACTTCAGTATTATCAAGAAGAATAGAAGTGAATCTTGGTTAAACAATACCTCAGCAATCATGCTTCATAGGCTAAATGTTTTAAATGCTTAAATAAAGATACCAGCTCATACAACAATTAAAAAAAAAAGAAAACACCTGCATATACATAAGAATGAAACCCTTGTAAACAATAACCAAGAAAGAAAAGAAAAAGAGAAGGTGTACTATATTTTAGTCAAAGAAAAGAAAAACAACCATAAATTATATGCAATCTTAACTCTGGCAAAGAATGAGCCTCAGCAGATAACATGCACATCTTCTAAATCATAAAAAGAGAGACTTCCTAGAGTTTTTTTTTTTTGAAACAGACATTCTTATATTACTTACTTCATCCAAAGTAATGTAGAATTTCCTTCATTAATTTGCCTTTTATTTCAGCATTAATATCTTTTTGGATTCTTGAAAAAGGGAGTATTTCTGTGACTTCTAGGTCATCTCCAGAGAAACTGCTGGTAACAATGACTCTGACAGGTGCATTTCTGCCAGGTTTCTGCATCAGCCCATCTTTGCTGAAGCCAGTGAAGTCATCAATCTGAGAATCCAATTGGCTGGGTGGAATACCAACTCCTGTCTTAAGCTCTGGTGAAACAAATTTTGACAAAAAGCCATCAGTGGGAGTTTCACCATGTTCTTTCCCCTCCACATAGACATCATGAATGACAGATCTGGAAACCAAACTGAGAAGCGGAGCTGTGGGATATGTGTGTTTCATCACCCCTCTCGGTACATCTATGTGCTCCTCAGTTTCTAGGGAATTATTTATTTCATAATTGGGAGGATGTACTGGGGGAAACCCCAGGCCTGATGAACAGAGGCCAGGACACATAATAAAACCACCCCGTATTTTCTGGCCCTATGAATGCAGATGGAAACCAAGTAAGACAGTACAACTCTAACAAACATTCACAGGTCCCTGGTACTCATGGGTTAGTGTCAGCTTGTTATGCTTTATTAGGTGAAAGTAGCAAGTCTCAGTTGACATTATGACTTCTCAAATTCACAAACAGCCCGCCATACTCTAGCTGGAAGCCAGACAACTTGGATACACCTCAACCTGCCACCTCTCTACATCAAATATGTTCTGAGAAAACAGAGGCGGCCATTAGTGCTGGAAGTTCTATATATACTCCATCACCAAAAATCCATTTTAGTGTATGATCTTCCTCATCCTTCTTTTTTGTCACAAAAACGTTACATTCTTTTCACTCCAGGTCTGTCACCTCTTTCATTTATTCATCATCTGTGGCAGGCAGCATTCCAGAAGCTGGGGATCAGCAGTAAACCACCAGAGAGCAACGTTTCCTGCTCTTGTGGAACTCACATCCTCATGGGGCAGTCAGACAGTACGTGCCCAATGAGCGAATGAAACTAACAGCATTGGGCTGATGGTGAGGAAGCCATCCACAGGTCTGTGGGAGACAGCAGCAGAGGGAGCCACAGGGGCTGCCGCTGGTTGGGCAGGGCCTTCTGAGGAGGTGCCCTTGGGTAGGGATTGGAGGAAGAAGTGGGGCAGCCTGTGCAGAGGCAGAGGGGGATTTCCAGGCTGCAGTGAGGCCAAGGATAGGGGCTGGAATGGGGATGGACCGGGCACTACGGGGTAAAGGACAGAGGCAGAGAGAGCCAGGAGATGGATGGGACCTGTGTTAGGAGAGGGCGACAGAGGTCAGGCCATGCAAAACCTCACAGACTAAAGCTAGTTCACGGTTGGTTCTGAGTGCTTAGGAGAATTAAGGATGGGTTTTCAAGAGCGACATGGCATGATGTGATTTACATGCCAACATGATGACCTGGCTGCAGGGTTGGAGGGTGTGTGTTAGATGGGGGCAATAACGGGAGACATGGAGATGTCACAGTAGCTCAGTGACTCATCATGGCAGAGTAGAATGGAAGGAGAGAGATATGCTGGGGTTCAGAAATTTTTTACAGTATTTACAGAAGAGAAGAAAAAGAAAGGTAGAAAAAAAGAATGATAGGAGTCAGGCATGGTGGCTCATGCCTATAATCTCAGAACTTTGGGAGGCTAAGGTGTGTGGATCACTTGACGTGAGAAGTTCAAGACCAGCCTGGCCGATATGGCAAAACCCCATCCTATTAAAATCAGAAAAATTAGCTGGGCATGGTGGCTGGTGCCTGTAACCCCAGCTACTCAAAGTCTGAAGCAGGAGAATCACTTGAACCCAGGAGACAGAGGCTTCAGTGAGCTGAGATCATCCCACTTCACTCCAGCCTGGCCAAGCAAAACTCCATCTCAAAAGAAAAAAAATGATAGGGATTCACCAATGAGGACAAGAAATTTAAAAAAAAAAAAAAAATTGAAGAAAATGGAAATCCTAGAAAGTTTCCATGAAGAAGCATGTGAACAACTGTGAAATGCTGCTGAGAAATTAAGGGCCATGTCAGGTGAAACTGTTCACCTTGACAAGGGCAGTTTCTCTGGAGGGGAACAGGCAGGAGGCCAACTGCACTGGACACAGCATGAAGAGGAGGGGAGGACAGGCTGACTTACTCTTTTCTTTGGACATGGCAGAGCCTCCAATAAGGCCATCTCCTGCTCCTTGTTTCCTTGCCAACAGGGCCATCTTCTGCCTTTTCTGATAAGGAGGACTATCAGATTCCCTGGGATGTTTAAATACGGTTTCAGGATCACCAGCCACTTTCTCTGTTTCATTGGTCATTGTTTCCTGAAAAACATCAATGAACATATTCAAAAATAATAAAAATCTATCAATCAAAAAATGGCAAACAGTTCTGCAAATGTGTATACAACCAAGACTTTAAATCATTGATTTCACTTTTAATCATGAGCCAAGATTTACCAAGTCTCAACAAAACAGCCAAGATTTACCAAGTCTCAACAAACACTCTTTTCTCTGTAAAAGGAATCTATATTAATGTACACTAAGTAAAAAAAGAAGAAAGATGATACAACTGAAATCAATCAGAATGCTTGTGGAATAAGCAGCTCTTATCAACCAAAAGTAGATAAAAAATATCACCTATTTGAAGATGTATAAACCAATCTGTATTAACCCTTGTTAGGAAAAATAGTTCCTGTTCTTTGTCCTCATTTTAGGAGATTGATACAAAGCTGATAACAAAATCTGACAAGCACGTTAGAAGAAAGAGAAACTACAAGATCAAGCCAAACTACAAGCCAAGATCACCTCTGAACTTAAACACAAAAATTCCAAACTAAAGGTGAGCAACTAAAATGCCATTGTACTTAAAAAAGACATACATCAGCCATGGTGGAGAATATTGCAGAAATGCAGCATTGATTTAACATTTGAAAATCAACAAATGTAATGCACCACATTAACAAAAAAATAAAAAAAATAAAAACAGGGAAACACTACGTGATCATTTTCATACATGGGTCAATGTTTAAAGTCCATTCGTGATTAAAAAGTATCAGCAACTAAGAAAAAAGGGCTACTTTCCTATTCTGGCTAGCATATGTACAGAAAAAAATAGTAAATGCCATACTTCATAGTGAAATGTCAGTAATTTCTCCCTGAGTTTGAAAACAAGACAAAGATGTCCACTATCCATTCAACAATTTACTGGAGGTTCTAACAATTGCAGTAGCATCAGGAAACTATAGTAGGTATAAATTTTGGAAAGAAATAAAACTGTCATTATTCATGGATGACATTGTTCTGTAGAAAACGTAAAGGAATAAAATCATTGTGATTAATAAGCGAACTTAGTCAAGTTAGTAGATATAATAAAAACCACTGGTGTTTCTGTACAATTAGTAACAATCAGAATATGAGATTTCAAATGCTACTAAAAACAGTGCCAAAAACATCAAATACTTAGGAATAAATCAAATCAAGATGCATTAGGGTACTACACAAAAATTATAAAACATCACTGAGAGAAATTCAAGACTGCAGTAAATGGAGAAAAATAATCTTGCCATGCATTGGAAGACATTATTAAGAGGCATTATTGTTAATGCTCTCAGAATGATCATAGGAATCATATTTAAAACTCCACAGTGTTAACAAAATGTTTTCTGAAAACTGACATGCAGATCGTTTTTAAGTATATGAAAATTAAAGATTTGGAAAAGCCATGACAACCTTTAAGAAAAAGAACTAAGTTGGTAGGTATGTACTACTAAATATGAGATTTACTATAAGAGTAGAGTGATTAAAACATTGCGGTATTGGAGCAATACAGGCAAATACACCAAGGGAAGAAGACACAGAGGCCAGAAAGAATCTGGAAATACAAAATACAGAAGAGCTGTAAATCACTGTGGAAAGGATAGTGCTTCTAATACATGCACTTGATAAATGCACAGAAAATACAAACCTTGATTCTTACCTCTTCCCACTCCACAGAACTTTATTAAAAATGGATAGACAATCTAGAAAATACTTAAGATATTGTCTTAACAACTATAGAATAAGAAAAGATGTTTTTAATGAAGATAAGAAAGCCATAACTAAAAAGAATGAATTGTTTAATTAGACAAAATTAAATGGAAAATTTCTGTTCCTCAAAAGACACTATTAAGAGAGTGAAAAGGCAAAGCATGTTTGTAGATTATATATTATGTAGTATAGAGTACACATCATATATTAAAATATATATTATACACACATATACATATGCATTTATATATACATATTTATATATATATATATATATATTTATATATACATTTGTTGCCAGATATATATAAAGGATGAGTTCATGTCCTTTGCAGGGACATAGATGAAGCTGGAAACCATCATTCTCAGCAAGCTAACTCAGGAACAGAAAACCAAACACCACATGTTCCCACTCATAAGTAGGAGTTGAAGAAGAGAACACATGGACACAGGGAGGGGAGCATCACATACCGGGGCCTGTAGGAGGGTGGGGGGCTTGGGGTGGGATAGCATTAGAAGAAATACCTAATGTAGATGATCGTTTGATAGGTGCAGCAAACCACCAAGGCACGTGTATACCTGTGTAACAAACCTGCACGTTCTGCACATGTATCCCAGAACTTAAAGTATAATAATAATAACAATAAAGAATATTATTGTCATGGCATTGGGTGAGGCAAAGATGTTTCTTAAAATAATGAAAAGCACTAGCCATAAATAATACATGGATTAATAAAATTAGGAGGATGTGTTCATCTAAAACACATTATTGAGATTGTGTAAAAACAAAACAAATTTATGGAAGATACTAAAATTGTGCATATATTTTTATATATGTACATGTTTGCCTGTGTGTATGTGTGTATAATTGAAATCCAGAATATATGTAAACTACAAATCCATTTTTAAATGAGAAACATCTCAGTAAAAGCTGGGGGAAAAGACCTGAAAAGGAACTTTATAAATGACATAGTTAAATGACCAATAAACACATAAAAAGGTGCTCAAAAAAAAAAAAAAAAAACAGCTGGGCGTGGTGGCTCTGCACTCCAGCCTGGACAACAGGGGGATACCCCATCTCAAAACAAATAAAAATCAATAAATAAAAACTTTTTTTAAAAGGTGCTCAATCTCATTAATCAGCAGAGAAATGCAAGTGTGACATAAGGAGAGATCACTGCACACCCATCAGAGTGGCTGGAATGAAAGACTAACTGTACAGCGAGTGGGTGAATGTGGCACAGCTGGAACCTTCAACTATTTCTGGACTCCGATTCCCACACAGATACCTGAGGCTGTGGCTGAAAAGTCAGGTAGTACCCCGGGAAGAGCTCCTCCAGGACTGAGAACCAAGCGAGGAAAAGCACTCCAACCCGGGGCGAGATAGAGCTCCCAAGGTCAGGTGGCCTCCCTCATGGCTGACACAGAGCTCCCCAAGTCCTACCGTAGACTTAGAGAATCCAAGGAACAGCACCCCACTCCCTCGCAGCACCGGGACACAGCACCCATAGATGATAATTTAAAAACCCAGCATCAAGAGAAAGCATCCGGTAGGCGTCCCCATCAGGGATAAATAGGTCCAAAGAAAAGCCAACACATCCTAGCTGAGAGTGAGCAAAATCCAAGGACAAATGTGCCCCACGGCCAACATCAGCACCCAACGAAGAGTCCCTCGCGGGCTGAGATAAAGACCCCGACGGAGAGTGACCCCACAGGGCGGCGATCATGTGTGGACATGATCAGAACAGCCAGGCATAGTGGTGGGCGCCTGTAATCTCAGCTATTCGGGAGGCAGAGGCAGGAAAACCCCTTGGATCTGGGAGGAACAAGCTTTAGTGAGCTGAGATAGCGCCACTGCACTCTAGCCTGGGCGACAGAAGGAGACTCTGTCTCAAAGTTGGGGAGGGATAACATGGGGAGAAATGTCAGATATAGGTGATGGGGAGGAAAGCAGCAAATCACACTGCCATGTGTGTACCTATGCAACGATCTTGCATGTTCTTCACATGTACCCCCAAACCTAAAACGCAATAAAATATATATTTAAAAATAAATAAATAAATAAATAAATTTTAATTTAAAAGGTATGTTTGTTAAGTACCCTGTCAGAAGAGAGTCATTTTCAGTATTACAGCTTCCTAGCCTATTGTATTAAGATTTGCCTGTGCTTTGGAATCTTCACAGAACACATTTTCTTGTGGAATACATTTGATTGACGAGAAAGCTTAAACATTGTTTTTGCTTCAGTGTAGGAACACAGGTGTTTTGTTGGTTTTTCTTCTAGTGTTATCAAAATAAAATACTCACTTTTGCATTAAAAAAATCCCACCACGTGTTGAACAATGAGAACACGTGGACACAGGGAGGGGAGCATCACACACTGGGGTCTGCTGAGGGGAGCAGAGGAGGGACAGCCTGGGGGTGGGGAGGTTGGAAAGGGATAGCATGGGGATAAATGCCAGATATAGGTGATGGAGGGGTGGAGGCAGCAAACCACATTGCCATGTATGTACCTATGCATCAATCCTGCATGATCTGCACATGTACGCCAGAACCTAGAGTACAATTTAAAAAAAAATCCCACCACAGCAGTACTCATGTGAGTATTGGATTGAATAACCATGAGACTAGAATCTTGGTGGGGCGTAATTAGAATCCTGCCTACCACACAAGCCAGAAGTGGACAGCTGCATTACAACAGTCCTGACTGGGACAGGCCTGAAGGACAGTGGTGAAAGGCAATCCTCCCAAAGGGAATAACTTTGAGCAGTGCACCTTCTTGGAGGAGACATACCCAGACATATAAATATGTATCACACATAGGCTGTGTCCCATTTATTGGCTGAATTGTCAGGGACTTTGAGGACACATGATTAAAACTTTGTGACAAGGAGGTCTGAGAAAAAAAAAATATGTGAACAGACCTGGCCAAACAGACATGCAATGTGAAGATATTTGGGTCTCATGAGAGTTCTCAGCAAAGGGTATCCTCAGCAAAGCAGAATTTTAATAATTGGATAGATAATGTGCTTATTAGCTAGATATTTATTAATCAGCCTCTTTCCCTAACACTTGTATCACAATCTTACAGGCTCAACAAACAAAATGGTCAAACTGGCAGGGTTGGAGCTACGTCCAGTAGCATGGACTTCCACTCACCATGGCAAACCTGGCTATGGTCATTGCTGAGTGAACAATCTTCCAGAAATGGAGACCAACGCTAAGCTCCCAATATGGCACCAGACTCCAGAGTGATCTGCCAGCCACCAGGTGGTAGGTGGATTACAATT